GAAGGAAGGAAGGAAGGAAGGAAGGAAGGAAGGAAGGAAGGAAGGAAGGAAGGAAAAAGTAGGCTAGAAAATTGCAGCAGAATCATTCAGATGGGACGACACAGGAGAAACTTTGTCCGAGGCAAATTGTGACTTTCCAAGAATAGATGAACCGTACAAACGGTTCCTTTTGTGCTTCAGTTCTTTTATCAGCCACATAACAGTGGAATTTTGGAGGAAGGAGGAAGTGTGGGAGGGAACTGGCTTGGGAGAATGATCCATTGGAGGCAGAGCTGAGCACTCTCATGGCCAGCGTGTGACCCCAGGGTATTCCTCAGCATTTTTAAGCCTCACTTTCCACACTGTATAGCTGAACCACAGGCTACAGTTGTGTCTCCTTGGTGATCCTGTGAGCTCACATACATAAGGCCCCTGACTTCATGGTTGGCACAGATCAGACTGAGCCACATAAAAACGCCAATAACAGGCCAGGTACAGTGGCTCACTTTTTTTTTTTCGAGTTGGGAGTCTCACTCTGTTGCCCAGGCTGGAGTGCAGTAGCATGATTATGGTTCACCGCAGCCTCAACCTCCTGGGCTCAGGGAATCCTTCTGCCTCAGCCTCCTGAGTAGCTGGGAGTGCAGACACGTGACACCACGCCTGGCTCATTTTTTGATTTTTTTTTTTTGTAGAGATGAGCTCTTGCAATGTTGCCTAGGCTGGTCTTGAACTCCTGGGCTCAAGCAATCCTGCCTTGGCCTCCCAAAGTGCTGGGATTAAAGGCGTGAGCTGCTGGACACGGTGGCTCAAGCCTGTAGCACTTTGGGAGGCTGAAGCAAGAGGATTGCCTGAGATCAGGGGTTTGAGACCAACGTGGGCAACTTGGCGAGACCTTGTTTCTACTATAAATAAAAAATTTAGCCAGGCGTGGTGGCGCATGCCTGTAGTTCCAGCTACTTGTAAGGCTGAGGTGGAAGCATCACCTGAGCCCAGCAGGTCGAGGGTGTGGTGACCATGAGTGTGCCACTGTATTCCAGTCTGGGTGACAGAGTGAGACTCTGACTCAAACAAACAAACAAGCAAACAAATGCGTGAGTCACTGTGTCCAGACTTTCCTTCTTTCTTTCTTTCCTTCTTTCTTTTTCTCTCTCTCCTTTTCTCTTTTCTTTCTCCTCTACTTTCCTTCCTTCCTTCCTTCTCTCTCTTTCTCTCTTTTTTTTTCTTTTTTCTTTTTTGAGTTGGGGTCTTACTCTGTAGCTTAGACAGGAGTGCAGCAGCATGATCGTGGCTCACGGCACCCTCGACTCCCTGTGATCAGGAGATCCTCCTGCTTCAGCTTCCTGAGTAGCTGGAACTATAGGCATGCCCTACCATTCCCCGCTAATTTGAGATCTTTTCTAAACAGTAGTGGTTGGTTCAGGAAAAGTGAAGCATTGTGCTGCAGGGAAGCTCATGGTGAAAGGGATGCTTTGGAGAGAACCAGCCTCAGAGCCGGGCTCTGGGTTCAAGTGCCCTCCAGCTGCCCACCCCCTGACCCGCTGACAGCCTAATGCAAGCCCCTTTAACTACTTGAGCCCAGGTTTCTACATCTGGAAATAGAAATGTTGATACAGTTATGTTGACAGGATTCACATTAGAGGATAACTATGCAGATACTTTGCCATGATGTGGGTATGATGTAATATTACCATTATTAAAGTTCTCAGGTTTCTTCCAGAAGATGCTCTGTAGGAGTTTATTAAACTGAATTAAATGTGCCTTCCTTCCTGCCAGGGTCACTGGTTGGAATCTTTTTAAATTTTTGTTTTGAGCTGGCATCTCACTCTGTCACCAGGCTAGAGTGCAGCAGTGGCACACTCACGGCCGCCGCAGCCTCGACCTGCTGTGCTCAGGCGATCTTTCCACTTCAGCCTTCCAAGTCGCTGGAACCACAGGCGCATGCCAGCTCACCTGGGGAGGGGATCAAGACCAAGTTGCCCAGGCTGGTCTTGATCCCCTGCCCTCAGGCAATCCTCTTGCCTCCACCTCCCAAAATGCTGGGATTACAGTTGTGAGCCACCGTGCCCAGCCGGACTAGCTGTTTTCTCCAAAGTGCATGTCTGCCTTAGCCATCAGAACCCTGTCCTGTGTCAGACTTTGTGGCCAGCATGTGGCTTGCACAACAACTGTGCCTGTGTGTGCTAGCATAGCGTGTTTTGGCAGTAATGAAACTCACGCGGGTGTCTTCTTCCCTTAGCCCCTGCCGCCTTTGCCGGACTGATGTACCTATTTGTGAGGCAGAAATACTTTGTCGGTTACCTAGGAGAGAGAACTCAGAGGTAGGTGCCTGGACTACGGAAAAACACCTGGAGGGACCATTTCAAACTCGTCTCGGACTCCCATTTAAGGCTCTGTGGGATCCCCCGGGTGGGAGGGGGAAGGCCTACTAGGACCCCTCATCTTTGTCCCCTGAGATTTGAGGGATCTGAAGATACATCCAGGAACTGGCCTCGTTTTCTCATGAAGGAATTCTTCCACGCAGCATTGGCTTCAAAGGACATTTGAATTCTGATGCTGTGCCCTCACACACTCATGCCCACCCTCCAGAGCCTGGGGCCAGAGGGGCTTTTTATTCTATTTATTTCTTTAATATTTTATTATCTTTTCCATTAACAAATTTTATTTCAATAAAGAAGATAGCCTTAAGGGGTACAAATAGTTTTTGGTTACATGGTTGCCTTGTTCAGTGATGAAAAAGTCTAGGGGCATACCTCCCCACCCCTACCTGAGCACATGGTACCCGGCAGGTGATTTTCGGTCCCTCCTCCCCTTCCTCCACCTCCTTTTGAGCCTCCACTGTCCACGACGCCATTTCTGTGTCTTTGCAGATGCTCAGTTTAGCTCCCACTTGTAAGTGAGAGCAGGCAGGATTTGGTTTTCTGTTCCTGTGTTAGTTCTCTTAGAATGATGATCTCCAATTCCATCCAGGTTGCTGCAGAGGACAATATTTCATTCTTTTTTATGACTGAACAGGATTCCACGGTATATATAGACTTTCACGATCCACTGATCGGTCGATGGCATTTAGGCTGATTGCACACCTTTGCAGTTGTGAATTGTGCTGCAATAAACATGCGGGTGCGGGTGTCTTTTTTATATAACGATCTCTGGGCCTTTGGGTGAATTGGAAGGGACTTTTTATGTCTAGCTTCTCGGGTCTGCTGGGAGTGAAACCTTTCAATGTTTGTCTCGAGAAATGAGAACGAAAGCTTGCAGCTTGTGATGAGTTCTCCTGAATGACACATCTTCCAGGGACCCGCAGCAAGAATGTTGAGGAAATGGGATGCCACCTTAAGACTGAACAGAGGCTGGGCGCGGTAGCTCGAGCCTGTCATCCCAGCACTTTGGGAGGCCGAGGTGAGGGGATTGCCTGAGCCCACGGGTTCGCGAACAGCCTGGGCAACTTGGCGAGATCCCATCTCTACAATAAATTAAAAACTTAGCCGGGTGTGGTGGCACATGCCTGTAGTTACAGCTACTTGTAAGGCTGAGGAGGAAGAATTGCCTGAGCCCAGCAGACCGGGCGACAGAGTGAGACTCTGACTCAAACAAACAAACCAAAAAAACCCCAAAAAGGACTGAACAGAGCCGCCATGGCCTTGCTCGTGGAAGTTGCCAGACAGGAAGCCCCCAAGGTTGGAATGCAGCAGCATGGTCACACTCACCGCAGCCTCAACCTCCTGGGCTCAAGCAGTCCTCCCACCTCAGCCTTCCCAAAGTGCTGGGATTACAGGGGTGAGCCCCGTGCCTGGCCATACTTTTCAGGGTTTTATAATCAATCCCTATTAGGGAATGAACAGAGGCAGCAAATATAAACAATAGAAGATTGAATTACAAGGAATCTTTAAAAATATTAGATTTCTTTGGGCCTCGTTGGAATCTCAGTGACCTGATCTCTTAAATCCCCCCCACCTCTCTCATTAGATGATAATAAGATCCCACCATCCCCTTAACCCACTCTCTGTGTGAGTTCCGAATCTTCTTCACCTTCTCTGTAGCCACGGTAGGCATTATTGATGAGTCATGGTGCTCTTTGGCACTGAGACCAAACTTGACCTCAGAATCCTTCTTAACACAGAATTCTGAGCAGTTTTCATCAGCAGAGATGATCAAGACTAGAAGAAATGTCTAAGCCTAATCTAGACCAAAATGCAGCCTTGATAGATGTAAGCCTGAGGGCTCTGTGGCTAAGGGCAAGGGAACGTTTGACTCTGTCTTCTAGAAACCACTTGAGAATGTCCTCTTCAGTTGGGGAGCAGCCCTTCCTCCCAGGTCCCCGTATGTCCCTGGGCTGTGTCACACCTGGACTCTGTAGCTACCCTGTGGCACCTGCTTTAGCCCTTGACCTCAGCGACCAAAGAGAGCACTGCTGGGTGAGAACCTTCCCTGAGTTTCTCTCTCTTGGCCTCCGATCACCTCTTGCTCCCTTCCAGAAGGTGCTTTGACCCGCCCACTCAGGAAGTTCCTGTGGCATTCGTGGTGTAAGGGGCAGGGAAGACACTCCCCACCACGTCTCCCTGGCCAAAGCTTCCACCCTCAGGCTTCAGGCTTCTCGGGAGGGATTCCACAGCTCCTCTTTTATTCCTTCTAGAAGTTTCTGGCTCTTATTTTCAGCTCTTCACCCTACTCTCTGACCCCTTCCTCTCTGTCCTCTCCGTAGCTTGCTTATGACCCAGGAGTTAAGAATGAATCTCAGTTTCTTCCCCTTTCATCCTAAGCTGCTCTCTGGGTCGAAACTCAGTGGCCACTGGCTCATATTCCAAGACGATTTGCCTTTTATTAGTCCCTGTCCCCAGTGGGCCCCAGGCTGCCCCCTCTTCCCATCCCCCAGAGTCCTGTCCCCTGCAGGGCTCTCACTCAGTCCCTCTTGGTCATTTGAAGTCTTCACTTCAATGGCGGATGGGCAATGACTGGCGATTCCTCTGGCCAATGAGCTCAGGGGACCCGAGGCCACCTTCTCAGTCACAAGCCTCGTCCCCTTAATATCTGCTAATTAAGTTATTGTTTTCTGACCACCTGCTGTGTGCCTGGTCCCAGGTCCATTGCTGAGGGAATTAACAATGGGCACAACAGTGCCCTTGTCCACAAAAAGACCCAAGGTATCTTCTAGAGTCAGGGACATGTTGCAAGACCAAGTGTATTCAACTTACAGAAATAGTAATAGACCTAGTTTTCAGAGGACAGCAGTCCTGATTCCTCCTTGATGTCAAGGTTTTAAGGCCCCTGGGCTTCTCCAAGTGTGGACCCTGGTGTTACTTCACCAGCATTCGAGGAGACAGAGTCTTCTTTTGGAAGTCCTGGGCACACAGATGCAAGGTTGATCTTTCTAACACCCACCAAACCACAGGATTAGAACCATGTAGGGTGGTTATTAAAAATACACATTCAGCTGTGCGTGGTGGCGTACATCTGTAATCCCAGCACTTTGGGAGGCCGAGGCAGGAGGATTGCTTGAGCCCAGGAGTTCAAGACCAGCCTGGGCAACATAGTATAACCTCATCTCTACGAAAAGTAAAAAAAATTAGCCAGGCATGATGGTGAGTGTCTGTAATCCCAGTTACTTGGGAGGCTGAGATGGGAGGATCACCTGAGCCGAGGAGGTCGAGACTGCGGTGAACCATGATCGTGCCACTGCACTCCAGCCTGGGTGAGAGAGTGAAAAAAAATATAGATTCTGGAGCCCCACCTTGGACTTATGAATCAGATTCTTTGCTGGGGGAGGCCCAGGAATCTGAATTTTAACACATCCTTCGGGTGATTCTTATACATGCTGCAGTTTGGGAATCACTGAGGGCTGTCCACGCCTCTTTTCGGAGGTCATCATGATCCATTCATTCCACAAATATTTATGAAGGTCCTAATTTATTGGAGACACATGAGTGAACAGGGGAAACGACAACATGCCCTCACGGGGCTTACGGTTTTTATTTCCTTTAGAAGTCACCAGGTATAAAGTGACATTTTCCCATTAAAAGGGACTGTCAGGTTTCCTGTTCCAACCTCATACTTTATGCAGGTTAAGAACTGGTGTGGGAGGCGAGGGAGGGGCTGGGACTGGCCCGAGGTCCCAGAGGTCTCGCGGTGCCTGGGTTTCCCATCTCTCACATTGCAGCACTCTAGGGTCTCATCCTAGATGTTCTCAGCGCATCCGAGATGGGGGTTATTTTGCATGATGCCGCTTGTAGGCTTTCGTGTAAGTTTTATGCGGCCTGTGGAGGGCACAATTGTTTCAAAACAAATAACCGAATCCCAGTCTCCAAAGGCTGAGGCGTCCTTGCGAAGCCGGGGTACTGACGAATCCTGACTCCCGCCTCACGCAGGCAGATCTGAATTCTCACTCGGGCCTCTTCCTGACTGTGAGATTTTAGGCAAATCTTGCCATGTCTTGGCTTTGTGTCCCCAGCTGGAAAATAGATTCATAATATACCCTCAGAGTAGTTGCAAGAATTTGATGAAGTCATGATTATAAAACACCTGACCCCAGTCCATGCTTAATAATTTGATTCTGACCTTCCCCACCCAGGTAGAGAGAATTACATTTCAACTTTTAGTTGTTTTTATTTTTTGAGTTGGGGGTCTCACTCCGTCGCCCAGACTAGTGTACAGTGAAAGATCACAGCACACCGCAGCTTTGAACTCCTGGGCTCAAGGGATCCTCCCTTCTCAGCCTCCCGAGTAGTTGAGACTACAGGCATGCGGTACCATGCTGGCTAATTTATTATTTTAATTTTTTTGTAGAGATGAGATCTCGCTATATTGCCCAGGCTGGTCTTGAACTTTGGGGCTCAAGTGATCCTCCTGCCTCAGCCTCCCAAAGTATTGGGATGACAGGTGTGAGTCACTGTACCTGGCCTGTTTCAACTTTTAGAAACAGTACAAGAGATGATGATCCCACGTGCGCACCGTCTGATCCTGACTCTTTTGTGCTGTGCTCTCACCCGGCCTAGGTCTCCCTCAGGCCTGAGTGGGACGGTGCTCAGCTGGGAAGGGTTCAAGCACTCGTCCTGTCTCCCATGGGCACGAGATGCCTTGAGACCTTCAAAAACTCCTACTTGATTTCAAGAGCGTCACTATTTCACCAGGAGGCTCGGCCACTTCATTTTTCACTAGGGTTTTATTTCGAGCATAAAATGACTTCGCAAATCACTTGTTCTCGTGTCTAGAATGAGCGTAGGGTGGCCTCATTCATGTGATGAATCTGAACCACCACAATATTTGACTTTTATAGAAACCCTCTAGTCTCTGGCTAAAAAATATCCTTTCCCTGGCTCCTTTATTTTGGTTTCATTCCTTTGCTCAGTGTTGGCAGGTCTCCCTGGATTAGTCTACTCTGCATTCAGTTGTAAAAGAGTACCCCAGACTGGCGACTTAAATAACAGACATTTATTCTCCCACAGTCCTAGAGGCTAGAAGTCCAAGGTCAAGGTGTTGGCGCGGCTGGCTTCTCCTGAGGTTTCTCTCCTTGGCTTGCAGATGGCTGCCTTCTCTGTGTGTTCTTGCAGGGCATTTTCTCTGTGTATGCCTGTGTCCTCATCACCTCTTCTTTCAAGACACCAGACACACTGGACTAGGGTCTACTCATCTTACCTCATTTTACCTGAATTGCCTCTTTTAAGACCCCATTTCCAAATATAGTCTTATTCTGAGGTACTGGGGGTTAGGATTTCAACACATGAATTTTGAGGAAACACAATTCAGCCCATAACACACTGTCTCTCTTTTTCTTCCTTTCTTTTTTTTTTTAATTCTGAGTTGAGGGATCTCACTCTGTTGCCCAGGCTGGAGTGCAGTGGCATGATCACAGCTTACCACAACCTCGACCTCGTGGGCTCAGGCGATCCTTCTACCTCAGCCTCCTGAGTAGCTGGGACTACAGGTGTGCGCCACCACACCTGGCTGATGTTTTGATTTTTTTGTAAAGAAGAGGTCGGTCTGGCTATGTTGCCCAGGCTGATCTCAAATTCCCGGGCTCAAGCAATCCTCCTGCTTCAGCCTCCCAAAGCACTGGGATTACAGGCGTGAGCCACCATGCCTGGCCTACACTGTCACTTCTAACACAGTCCTGCATTGTATAGACAGCCCCCAGCGTGGGTCTCATAGGCATTCCTTGAGAGGGTCTGCTGGAGCGAGGGTCTTCATGATTCGATGGTGGTCCCAAAGTGCCCAGTGATCAACACAGCCCGCCACCTTCAGCTCATCTAGGAACCAGAGACCAGGGAGCACCGAGGAGCCAGCCCTGCCCGTCAAGCCCTAATGACGATGGGTTTTGAGGTCTCGGCTCTCTTAGCTTGGGTTTGAAATATGTTCAATGACTCATAATAGCTAAGACGCTTCCATCCTTCATTCAAAGTAAATGGTTAAATGGAGCATTGTTGAGGAAAAGGAACTATAATCTCAACCCCATGGATCTAAAAGTGGCAACATGCTTTTGTGAAATCGGTGTCATTTGTGCTGAGGTGACAGATTTCTCTTCTCTTCTCTTCCAGCACGCCTGGCTACATCTTTGGGAAGCGCATCATCCTGTTTCTGTTCCTTATGTCCCTTGCTGGCATATTCAACTATTACCTCATCCTCTTTTTCGGCAGTGACTTTGAAAACTACATCAAGACGATCACCACCACCATCTCCCCGCTGCTTCTGATCCCCTAGCTCCCTGCTGAGCGGGGTTGGTGCTCTCAACGAGTCCATACCTGGGGGGGTCCTCGTCACTCATTCCTTGAAAGGATTCCGCCCCTCTTTAGATAGTTGTAAATCTCATGGCCATCTGGGCTCCACTGCGCACGTTCACCTTGCTTGCTCTTCCGGGAAGAGGATGATTTTGTGTGGGCTCCGCCCCTTGAACGTGGCCGTGGCCCCAGGTTTGTGACATGGATCCACTCTGTATGTTTCTTGATGTATCCTGCTCTCTGAAGGTGTTTTGTGACCGGATGTATGTTTTCCTAAAATAAAATGCAGGCGCGTGTTTTAGGCTGATGGCTAAGTTATTATTATGTTTTGGTTTTTTTTTGCGGGTTTTGAGGTTTTTGTAGGTAGGTTTCTATACCCACAAGCAACTAATTTTTCCTCAACCTAAAAGATGATAGTAAGAATACACTATCCATCCAGGAGACACATTTCTTAAGGCTCTTTTATGACCATGCAGTCTTGCTGCCTGTGGATTAGGTGGGTGTCTTTATACACTACAAGCCTTGTCCCTAGATTCTGTGATATGCGGTTTAAAACACTAATACTGTAGGCTGGGTGTGGTGGCTCACGCCTATAATCCCAGCATTTAGGGAGGCTGAGGCAGGAGGATTGTTTGAGTCCAGGAGTTCGAGACCAGCCGGGGCAACATCACAAGACCTGGTCTCCACAAAAAGTCAAAAAAAATTAGCCAGATGTAGTGGTGTGCGCCTGTAGTCTCAGCGATTCAGGAGGCTGAGGCAGAAGGATTCTTTGAGCCCAGGAGAAAAAGGCTGCAGTGAGCTATGATTGTGCCCCTGCACTCCAGCCTGGGCAACAGAATGGGACCCTGACACAAAACCAAACAAAACCATACTGCAATCCCGTAAGAGCCCAAGAGAATACCAGGCCCATTGTAGGTGGCCCCCAAATATAGGTTGAAGAGACAAATAAATGAATGAATGAGTTTATGAACTGCTGGCTGGCTATATTTAATAAAATTTGTGTATTGAGTCATTTTCCATATTGCAGACAGATTTGTCCCCTAATGTGGGTCTTTGCCCAAAGGCCCCACCTCCTGACATCATCGCCTTGTGGATTCAATTTCAACATACAATTTTGTGTGTGTGTGGGGGGAACGCAAACATTCAGACCCTGGCACCATCCCATTAAATATCCCGCTGGCCACTCCGTTCAGAGTGACAGCGATCCAACCACGGTCCCACCGGGTGCCACTTAGCACAAAAAGCATAACTTGGAGGATGGCATAACTTCTAAGGAAGTCACTTATCAGCACTGAGCTCCCAGGTGAAATGACCGGCAATAGTGGGTCTTCTTTATCTCCCAGATGAGCAGTAATAGTGATTCCAGTCTCAGGGAGGATGTGAAGCCTTGCCCAGTTCTCCCTGAGTTGCATCTGGGGAGCAGAGCCCACGGAACACGGCGGCCGGTGTGGTCTGAGGTCTGGATCCGCGTGCCTCACGTGCGATGCTCAGGCCGGAGCATCTTTCAACGTCCCAAGGGAGGGACCTGGCTTTTCCAGGCTGTGCGACGGGCCAGACTGAAGTCCCTCCTGGCTTGCTCTGCCAACACCCCCCCACCCCTCCCCACTCCTGCCAGCAGGAGCTTCCGGGCACTACTTGCTTCCGGACAGTGGCTTCTGACCGGGTTCTCTCTAGAAAACAGGACTGGCTGGCCCAGCCAGGTGTATCTTTCTCCTTGCTGCTGGGGAAGGAAGGGTAGAAGCGTCCTGGGCTTCCTCATGCCTGGGCTTGGCTTGGAGGGTGGTGGGGTGATCAGTCATCCCGATTTGCCTGGGACTGAGGGTGTCCTGGGTTGTGGGGCTTTCAGGCTTTTTAGAACACGATTTTTATTGATAAAAATATTTGTGCATATTGATGGGGTCTGTGTGACATTTTGTTATACGTGTAGACTGTGTAATGATCAAGTTGGAGTATTTGGGGGTGTCCATCGCCTCAACTATTTATATTTCTTCATGTTGGGAACATTTTAAGTCTTCTTGTCTAGATATTTTGAAATATACATAAACTATTGTTAACTGAAGTCACCCTACTGTGCCTTTGGACATTAGAAATCATTCTAATTATATATTTGTACCCTCTTATTGGGCTTTTAGGGTTTGCTGTTGTTGTTTTTGAGTCAGGGTCTCACTCTGTTGCCCAGGCTGGAGTGCAGTGGCATGATCACAGCTCACCGTAACCTCAACCCCCTGAGCTCAGGCGATCCTTCCATCTCAGACTCTTGAAGAACTGGGACTACAGACGTGTGCAACCATGCCTGGCTCATGTTTTGGGTTTTTGTAGAGATAAGATCTCGCTATGTTGCCTAGGCTGGTCTCGAACTCCTGGACTCAAGTCATCCTCCTACTGCCTTGGCCTCTTGAGAAGCCAGGACTAGAGGCATGCACAACCACACCTGGCTAATGTTTTGAGTTTTTGTAGAGATGAGGTCTCGCTATGTTGCCCAGGCTGGTCTCAAACTCCTGGGCTCAAGCGGTCCTCCTGTCTCGGCCTCCCAAAGTGCCAGGATTGCAGGCACAAGCCACTGCACCAGGGTTTTCGATTTTAAAACTAGGCTGGTCCTGGGAAAGCCAAGATGAATCAGTCACCTCATGGGAGGCCTAGGCTGGAATTTGCCCTGTGGAGCCTGGGACACCTTAGCTGCTGGAGGCCCCATGTTTTCCAAACTGACCATGGGACCTCCAGAGGGCAGAGAAAGGAAATGACGTTATGGCTCATTAGAGGCTCTGCTGGGTGGGGCCTGGGGGTAGAGCGCGTGGCAGAGGGCACTAAGGGCAGGTGTGGGACATGTTTCATGATCACGAAGAGGAAGTTCTCAGGGGCAGAAGGCCCGATAGGCGACCCTCTCTGTAACTGGAGGCAGCATCGGAACGGTCAGACTCCCTGTCTTCAGAGTTTGTGGCCGAATACATGGGGCTGGATCCTGGCTGGTCCCTCCCTCTGCTCCCTGACTTCCCCCTAAGCCTCAGTTTTTGCATGAACTAAATTGGGATAACAATAATCTCACGCTCGCCAGGTGCAGTGGCTCAAGCCTGTAATCCCAGCACTTCGGGAGACCGAGGCAAGAGGATTGCCTGAGCCCATGGGTTCGAGATGAGCCTGGGAAACATGGTGAGACCTCGTCTCTACAATAAATAAATAAACTAGCTGGGCGTGGTAACATGTGCCTGTGGGTCCGGCTACTTGGAAGGCTGAGGTGGAAGGATCGCTGGAGCCCTGTGGGTTGATGCTGGGGTAGCTGTGAGCGTGCCACTGCACTCCAGCCTGGGCGACAGAGTGAGACTCAAAAACAAAACAATAATACCACATTTATGGGGTTGTTGTGGGAATCATGAGGTAAAGCAACTGAAAATGCTTACCACGTGGTAAGTGCTGAATAAAAGGTAGCTATGATTGTTATCTCAGTAGCCTCGTTTTCTATGGATACATAACAAGTTGTCACACGCTTAGAGGTTCAAAACAACACACATGTTATCTGACTGTTTTCGTGGGTCAGAAGGCCTCATGGCTTGACAGGGTCATGATCCTACCGGGGTGTCAGTCAGAGCTGTGATCTCAGCTGAGGCTCAGGAAACTATCTCTTCCCGGCTAACAGGCTCCGTTCTTTGCCATCATAGGACTAAAGCCTACAGTGTTCAGCTCCTAGAAGCCCTCTCCCTGACGGAGCTTTCTCCACAACACACAGTTTAAAGAGCAGCAAGAGCACATCATTGGTGCTTTTTTTGTGACCTCTAGACTCATTTTTAAAGGGCTACCCTGATTAAACCAAGCCCTCCCAGAGCGAGTTTAGAGTCAACTGATTAGGGACCTTAATTACACTCTCAAATCTTCTCACCTTCACCTTTCAATGTAACTTAGTGAAAGGAGTGAAATCATGTTCCAGTCCTCCTTGCACTCCAGGAGAAGGGATTCAGTGGGGGGGGGCGGGCCCTAGGGGGGTGGTCACTGGGATTCTGCCTACCTCAGTGGTCTTCCAGTCTTCCAGGAGCCAAAAGGAGTAGAATGGAGGGCAGAAGCAGGGTGGAATGCAAGGGTGTGTGAGCAAGTCTGCATGTGAACACCCGAGAGGGAAGGAGGCTGTGGTTTCCTCTATCTTCTGGCAGGCAGGGAACTTTCTTAACCTTTTCCCCTACTCCCTGTGGGAGAGAGCACAGTGAAAGAACATCTCAAGCTGATGTACCTAATAAGCGAACTCCCCTCTCCCCTCCACTTCAACTCAAATGGGAATACCCCTGGTTGCAAAGAAATCATCTGTGCAACTGGGTTTTTATGTTCCTCTCCTACCCCATGCCTTCCTCATCTGTCTTGGTCAGCTCAGGCTGCTGTTACAAAGCCTCATAGCCTGGGTAGCTTTTAAACCACAGACAGGCTTTGGGAGGCAGAGGCGAGAGGATTGCCTGAGCTCAGGGGCTCGAGACCAGCCTGGGCAACTTGATGAGATGTTGACTCTACAATAAATTTAAAAAAATTAGCCAGGCATGGTGGTGTGTGCCTGTGGTTCCAGCTACTTGGAAGGCTGAAGCAGAAGGATCACCAGAGCCCAGCAGGTCGAGGCAGCGATGGCTGTGAGCGTGCCGTTGCACTCCAGCCTGGGCGACGGAGTGAGACTCTGACTCAAAAATAAATAAATAAATAAACCACTGACATGTATTTCTCACCACTCTGGAAGCTGGAAGTCCAAGATCAAGGTGCTGATAGAGTCAATATCTGGTGAGGGACCACTCTCTGGTTCAAAGATGGTGCCTTTTTTTGGTGGTGGAAGGGAGAACATATTCCCTAGGCCTCTTTTCTAAGGGCACCATCTTGGTCTAGGTTGTGTTGCTATAAAGGATTGCCTAAGGCTGGGTAAGTTACAAAGAAAATATGCTTATCTGGCCCACTCTTCTGGTTAGCTGGAAGGTTCAAGATTGGGCATCTGCATCTGGCTAGGGACTCGGGCTGCCTTTACTCATGTCACAGTGCGAGAAAGTGTGTGTGCAGAGATCGCATGGTGAGAAGAGAAGTAGGGAAGGAGGTGTCAGACTCTTTTCAACAACTGACTTTCTGGGGAACACACAGAGTGAGAACTCACTCGCCCCCGAGGAAGGACGTTAATCTATTCACGAAGAATCCACCCTATGGCCCAGACATCTTCAGCGAGAACCTGCCTTTTAACACTACCACTCTGGGGATTACATTTCTTTATTTTTATTTTTTGAGTTGGAGTCTCACTCTGTCGCCCAGACTGGAGTGCAGTGGCCGCTCCCGGCCACCACAGCCTCGACCTGCTGGGCTCCGG